CCTGTTCTGATAAAGGAGACTCTTAGAACTGGAAAGTAAAAAGCAACTGGAGATAAAATTAGTAGTGCCCAGAGGCTAGAAATAAAGGCATGCCTCAGAAATCTAAGATGTTCTTCCCCTGTGGTGACAAAATGTCAGTGTCATCAGGACTGCCTGAAAACATCACCCTAGTCTAAATCGGGGGTGGGTTTTGTCATGGAAACATCACATGCCCACTACATCACTGGTTGAGAGTGTATCTGTCTCTTTAAGTCATCATTAGTGGACCCTCCCTGTGCTTCCTGATCTCTGAGATCTGAGCAGCTCAGTGGCTTCCTCTGTGTTCTGGGAGGAAAAAACCTTCAGCACACACAACTGAAAGGACAGCCGCAGATCAGGGCTTCTCAGAGCCAACTTTTCAGAGCCTGTCACCAGGAAAGGTAGGCCTGAGAGCTGGTGGAGGGGAGTGGGAGTTGTGGGGAATGGAAAGCATTCAGTGGCTGAAGGTGTTGTCTAAATGAAGCTTTCTATGTGAGCACTTACATTCTACTAGGTATAAGGAAAGGGAGGGATCTATAAGGAAAAACTTTATACTTCCAGTATTTTAAGAATGTTCTGAGTTTCAGATGCAATAAGTTTCAAAGAAGGGGTAAGCATCTTTGTCAGCTCTGGAGTACACAAATTCTTCTTTGGGACTAAATCCTTTCTCTTGCCCTACTGTCCAAGTGAGTAGAAAAGATATTTGCTAGAACTACTGTGGGGAACAAAGTACACTGTAGAAAACAGTAAACACTCCCCAAATGTATATTCACCAAATGTGAAAGATATTTCTAAGAATGTATAAGTAATTCTAATGTCAGAACAAGTTACAAAGTGGAAATTCTGTATATATCTGAGCTATATCCTTCAATACTCTACTCTCCTCAGCACCATCCACAATAGGGTCTTTCAGGCATCATCTGATATTACGAACATGGTCTTCAAACTCTTTCCCTGCACGTGCCCTCAAAGGTCTCCCAAGTCCAAGATGCCCAGGACCCTCTTAGCTGCCAAGCCATCTGAATTTTTTCTTTTGTACAATGAAGGGTTGTGCTAAGATAACCAATACCCAAACTCAGATCCGTGGCCAAGCTGCATTAGAACTAACTGTGGGAAGGGGGATGTTTATTACACAATCTGTAAGGAATATTTTTTTTATTTTAAAAATTTCCTTAGACAATTTCAAAAGGTAGCAGTTTGAGGAAATATTAAACTAGATTATATTTGAAGATCTCTCAGAATTTTAAGAATATAGGATTTGACATGTTTTACTTTCTCCAATAAGTACATGTCTTTTGTAATCTCAGACTTCAGCTTTTAAGAACTTTGGATTAACTATTTTTCAAAATCCACTCCAAACTCTGTGGAAAATTCCAATGGCCTACCCAGAGCTCTGGGGATTCCCTGGGTCACACTTTCTCATTCTATCTCTGACAAGGATTTATTGCTTCAAGCTGAATTCTTGTTCTGTGCTCTGAATCTTATAGCTGCTTCTTGCTTGCTGCTCTGGTGTCAATTATGAGAGTCTATTGATTTCTACACGCAAAATAATTAATCACATAATGCCCGTGGAGTGAACTTTATCAAAGGCTTTGGGGAGGTGGCAGGGAATTTCCTACAGAGACAGAAATAGTTTTGGATTGAATACAAAGCAGACCTGTTCTCAGAGTGCTTTGGCCAAAGACAAGTTATTCAGCCAGTCTCCTTCTGCTTTGCCTTTGTACGTGGTGTCAGTGGGAGAGAACACAGGTACCTGGGGTGACCAGGGTAGAAAACATGAAGAGGTAGAGTTTGACATGGATAGTAAGGTGCAGATAGAAATGTGGAAGAGGATCAGTAATCATAGAAGGGGAAGCACAGAGTGGGTTGGAAAAGTCCTGAAGTCTACTTTTCATGGAGTAGCTGACTAGGTGGGGGATTAACTAAAAATAAGGCTGATGAAGTATGTAGATGAAGGGAAATGCATATTTGTGTTCAGCTGCTCAAGTGATCAAGCAAACTGGATCACAGGGCTTTTGATTGTATTAAACAATGTTCGAATTTGGCATAATCCCTTTATTTAGGAAAGCCTAGGGCGTTTGATGACCACAGGAGACTTTGGTAAACTTTGAGTATCAGAACATTTACTCAATAACTCAGGAAACTGCTCTTGTGGGAACTGGCAAAGAAAACAAATAAGAAGACACTTGGAAAATCTCAGGTTTCCTTGATTCACAAATGCATATTGCACGCTGACCCAAGAGCTTTTACCTCTGCTCCCAGAAAGCCAAATGTCTATTTGCTTGTTTAAATATAATCTCTGTGCTGGTGAGGCTGGGATACCTTCCTGCACCTCCTGATGTCCTTCTACTCAAACTTGAGTCTCTCCTAAATAAAAGGATTATGCCAAATTCTAACATTGTTTAATATAATTAAACACACTGTGATCCAGTTTGCTTGATCACCTGAGCACCTATGTGGCAAATGAATGGACAAATAAGCCATGTCTGTGACTGTTCCAGGTAAGCATGCAACAATAAGAGAAGATGGGAAGAGATGAAAAGCTCATTCATGGTAAGAACACGTGTCTGAACAGTACACTGACCCCTCTATGTTTGTGCCTGAATTGGGTACAAGGTTGAAGAAAGCCAAGGCTCAGAGATGCTTCTTCTCAGAGAAAATGTCTTTAGTTAGCCTCCAAAAGATAAAGGTATTGTGACCACTGAGATACCACAGCAAAAGCCCTGGCACCATCTCTGCCACTGACCTGCTCTGAAATATTAGGAAGCCCTTTGACTGCTCCAGGCCTCATGATTATAATGATTGAGGCTATAATCTTTTCCAAAGGGAGAGAATCAAGGATATGCAAGACCGAATAAACATAATTCACCAAAGAGTGTGCTGGAAAACAATGATTAAGGGTTAAAACACTATTAGGGTTCAAGAGAAAGAAGTGAGGGAAGGAGAGAAAGAGATGACACAGACAGAAGATGAGAAATAGAGAAATACTACTAATAATAAAGAGAGCACTTCTCTCTTCTGTTCTTGGACTTTATAAAGACCCAAGTCACAGAAGGGAAGAGAAATGGGGATTCACACTGGTCATTTCTTTCATGATAGAGTTACATGAGTGATGTAAGAGCAGAGTGATGACAAACAGAGCAGAGTAAAGGCATTTAGTGGGAAGAGAGATGACATTCTGAATGGACAAGAAAGGAGTGGGGGATAGAACAAATCCCAATGACTTGTTTCTCATCCCACTCCAAAAGAAATGTCTCTGCCCACCTCCCATTCTTTGAATAATAAGGGACTTCCTTGGTCAAGAGACCGGCACCATAGGGCAGCTTGTAAATCGGGGTCATTGTGAGTCATTCCGTGTATGGTATGCTCTGTATGCAACATCTTACTTAGTTCTTAGTTCTTAAGGTAGGTTGAATAGTTATTATTCCTGTTCTCAATATGAGGAAACTGAGGATCACAGAGGGCAGAAATAATTACAGAGAAAAGCTGTGAACGACCCTGGATAAAGAATGACTTTCATCATATCCTGTGAAATGGCTGACTTGGAAATAATGTATGGCACCAGGATGGGTAACAGGGAGGTGGTTAGACTCTGTGACAGAAACAAACTCATGTGTTCGGTCTCCAGCTGCCATCTTCTGAAATGTGCTATCATGACTAAGGGAGAGCTATTACTCTCATTACGAGTGTTGGAAACCTTCTCATTGTCTTTTAGGGTCACACAAGGCCATTGGGGCCACACAGTTCACAGTCTTAGAAGAATGAGTCTATACAGAAAAAGCAGAGCCAGGAGAAAAAGTTAAGTACTTTCCCCAGGTTCCAAGCTAATAAACACCAACATTAAAGCAACTTAAAACCTCTCATTTAGTTCTAACCCTTAACATTTTCAATGCGTGAAAATAACTTGGCTTTCCATTAAGATTGTTCTTGCCTCAACTGTAAAAAAAAAAGTTAAAATTGATCTCTGAACAAAGGCATAATAACTATGACTTAGAGTCATCAAACACGTACCAGGGGGCAATCACTCCACTCGGTACTTATGTGGATTAGCTCATCTAACCCTATTAAGAACTCTGTGAGGAACAACTGATATTATTATTCTCATCTTACAGAAGAGGGAAATTAAGGCTCAGAAAGATTAGGCAGCTTCCACAGCTACCCGGTTAGCTGGTGCAGAGGCAGTGGTTCAAATACAGGGTGTCTGACCATAGATCCCACTCAAGAAATTGCCAGGGGGTTGGGGGGGGCAGGATTGGCAGTATTGGGAATCTGCCTGGAGATGGGGAGGCACACTTCATCAGCAAGGATACTTGCATAATGAACATTTGTATACCTAACCCTGAACTGTACCCCACATCTTTAAAATTAAAAAAAAATTAAAAGAGAAAAAAAAGAAGGAAACAGGGGGTGGTTTCTGGAAGACATATTAAAGAGCCCACCACAGTAGTGAAGTATGGAAAGACCAATGGAAAGGCAAGAAGAAATGAATATCCTACGCAGCTTGCATGTGTGTGATCACCAGAGAGTTAATGTCAGATGAGGTAATAGTTGAAATTATAAAGGGGTATCCTCTAAGGAAATACTCACCAGGTGTCCAAGTATCTAGCATGGAGTAAAGTCAAACATGAAAGGAATTAATGGGTAAGGCTCACCCAGGAGCTTGAAATCTGTAATCAGACCACCTCAGTAAAGATTTGGCTTAAAAAGCAAACGTTGGAGGCACTATTCTCCTTTGCTCAAAAGGCATTCCAGAGATACATTTACCCAGGATACCTTGGTTTAAGGTTTGGACACTCACAAATAATTTGCTCTGACAGGTTCAACAGACCACAACCTGTCCCTCCCGGGGTCCACATTGCGGCTCATCCTGGTGGGGAAAACAGGCGCAGGTAAGAGCGCCACCGGAAACAGCATCCTGGGACAGCAAGAGTTCGTCTCCAGGCTCAGAGCCACCCCCGTGACCAGAGCCTGCGTCACGGCCAGCCGGAAGTGGGCTAAGTGGCACGTGGAAATCACAGACACCCCAGACATTTTCCGCTCCGAAATCCCCCAGACAGACCCCGAGTACGAGGAGAGAGGTCGCTGCTACCTGCTCTCTGCCCCCGGGCCCCACGCCCTGCTCCTGGTGACCCAGCTGGGCCGGTACACTGCCCAGGACCAGCAGGCTGTGAAGGCCGTGCGGGACATGTTCGGGGAGGGCATCCTGAAGCGAGTGGTCGTCGTCTTCACCAGGAAGGAGGACCTGGGCGAGAGCTCTCTGCAGGATTACGTGCGCTGCACCGACAACCAGGCCCTGCGGGAGCTGGTGTCCGAGTGCGAGGGGCGGGTCTGCGCCTTTGACAACCGAGCCACTGGCCGGGAGCAGGAGGCCCA